TCTCTTTTCTTTTTCTTTTTATTTTTTATTTATTTTTTTAATACAAACATAACGTCATCACTACGATGTGCGTGAAAACCGCACATGTTAAAAGCAACATTGTGAGAGCAGACTGCGAAATGACGTCCGCGCGTCAACCTCACGATGGCGGAATTGTACTTTTTTTCTCACTGTGTATGTCACGGCTTATCGGTGAACTACTCCCCCGGGGTTAATCAAACACACATGGGCAGGTCGAGATAGCGCATATGCGAACACGATGGATGAAAGCCGCTTCGAGCAAGAATAATTTGCGTCGCGACGAAGCTCCATTAACTAAGATGGACAGATTTTTAAAGCGCAAAAACGAGACCGTATAAGTCGGCGACAACTGATTACCTCATGCCTATATTACACTCCGTGTTAATTGGCTGGCGGATAAAAAACTTGTATCTTGTTAAAAACGTGAAACGTTCCCAGTTATCTTATTAATAAGCCCCATTACTTTTGACATTAATTAGCTGTCAGATAAAAAAAAACTTTATAAAGGATTATTAAAAAAATTGTCTAAAAGGATGTCCTGGGACTGCAATAATGGTTCATTTGTTAGAGAAATAGTTTTCAAAAAGCGTTTTCTGCTTTTCGATGATTTAATTTTTTATCCGACGATCGATTAGCACGTCCGACAATATTTATATAATATTCTACATGTGTATTACCGATGTAATTTATTCGGGATAAATGATTATATATGAACACAACGATTGATTGATTGACACGGATATATAGTATGTATCGTATAATGAAATCGCCGTCGAAATAAGCGATCATTGTTTATGGTTTCGTCCAGTCGCTAGACACCTACGAGATATTCGTATACGCGTTTTATGGCCACTAGAATTCTGACGCGGTTAAATTATCGCCGTGGCACATGGTGTATATATATATATATATATATATATATATATATATGCACGTGCGTGCCTACCTAGATACATATAGACATCCCATGAGTATATTCCTGGACGCACAGTTCCATGGAATCTCCGCTGACGTTGTTTCTAAACGATGATGGCCTAGTGAACTCTCTGTAATCGTGTTAAAATATCTACTTGCATAAATAATTGCAGTCGACAGTATATTTAAATCTGTTGCTCCTATTTAAATTTTGTCTCGGAGATGCTGCGTGGCACCATGAATACCATTTGTAAAGTGTCATGTGAAATATTCACGGAACCGCCTCGTTACCGTTCGATCAACTATGTTTAGAATTGAAAAGAGGATTAAAAATATCGATAATTAGACAATAGTACTTTAAATCCGTAGTATTATATGAATCTTATTTGCCATAAATAAAATTTGCGTTCTTCCTATATTGATGACAGATTAATTTTCTCGAGTTAATTTATTTTTAACGAAAGTATTGAGACCACGATAATTTTTAAATTCGAATGATCGAAGAGCTTTTCGCGCAAACTAAGCGTCGAGAATCATGAGATTCAGAAATATATTAAAAATTATGATACGGTTTTCTTTTAATTTTTAATTAAAAGTTTACGAAAAATATTTGAGAATCTGTTAATGATGTACAAGATATAGTAGCGCGAATACCTTTAAATAATTCCGACCTGGATAGAGTGTTTAGTAAAATTTGCGGTTTGCTTCCCGGCAACAATGAAGCCACAAAATCTGAAATTTATACGAGAGGAGATTTAGAAGTTTCACTTTACTAGGTACTTCAGAACTGTAAGCCGCGGATGAGAAGGAGATCGACCTGAAATTTCCATCTCTCGTTCGCGAAAGTTTCGGGGCAGGTGTTTGCATCCGCCGATGCATGCGATCGTGTACTTTGCGTGCGCGTCCTCGTTCGAGCATTTGAAAAATAAGGGAAACTCGAGCGTCTCGCTTTAGGAACGCGCGACGACAACATTCCGTTTTTCTCGGCGACGTAGTAGATTTTTATGAAAGTCTCTCTGACTGCAAGGTGTCTCGTGACACTTTCCGAGGAACAGAGACAACGTTCCTAAGCGAGCTTACGTTTCCGCCCGTCGCGCATTGAAAAAAACTCCTCGCCTTTCGCGCTTCTGCTTTCTCAGTATTTTTTTTTCTCGTGTCATATATACAGGGCGCATTAAAAGTCGCAAGTCTCTTTTATTTTTACCTTTTATTTTTGATATATTAATATTTTTTTAACATCTTTTATCTTCTAAGCCTTCTCTTCTAACGTTTTAATTCTTAATATAATATTTTAATATAACATTTAATATAATATTGTTTTTAATGTAATATTTTTCTTTATTGTTTTAATATGATAAAAAAATTAAGTTGTTACATTTTTCTTTTTAAAAGTTATTTTAATGAATTTTAGACTTTTTTGCGACAAATTATATTAAACATAATTCGCATAATTTTCATTAAAATTCAATTGGATGCATAACATAAATTTTTATTATAACATCTGATTGAAATTATGTCACGTTTGGTGTCATTTGAATCACAAAAATGTTATTAATCTATTAAAATCAGTTAAAAAAAACAATAAATTGAAAATAAGAATTTTAATTTTTTTATCATATTAAATTACTGATTACATTATACATCTTTAAATGTGTTTCTATATCTGTAATAAAGACAATTCATTCAAGTTCAATTTTAGCTTGATTTTGGAGAATTTATCAAATTAAACATACACTAAAAAAAATTTGGTTGAAATTTTGTATTGAACTCTCTGTTTTGATGATTTGAATAAGCTTTGTTTACATCAACAAATTATTTCGGAATATTTTAGTTATATTTATTTGAACGTATCGAACAATATATTTAGTTGGGCAAAACAAATTTTGCCTTTTCAACCAATTTTTTTTTCAATGTAGCAATTATATAAGAGAATTGGAATGCGATCTATATTTAAAATAGTGGTAATTAGTTCAAATCTCAGCTAAAAAATCAAAATAAAAAAATAAAAAAAACATCAAAATAATAAATCAACTTGCAATAATCAAAATATAAAGATATTAGATATCTAGAAAAAAAGAAAAATAACTCTAAAAAAAGTTGTTTTTTCACAAAAAAGAATTTTATAGAGGGAAAAACATTTTGTTTTTTTATTTACACCTCTATTATTGCGTTGCATCCTCTCCATGGGGGCTTCCGCAAGCGCGAGCATAGTCGGAAAACTGCAACGAATCGCATCTCCCACTGACAATGAGAGAGAAATCCCGTGTCGACACGAGAGAAGCGGTTTCCGAGTATGTCGCGTGCCCGGGATTACTTTCGCGTCAGTGCTTATTGTTAGTCAAGATTGCATTGTCAACTTGGATTTCTGGGAATCTCACGGATGCGCTTCCCGCCGCGTTGATCGTGTTGGCGGAGTTCTCAGCTTATGCTAATTTTGCTGATGCAAGAAAGGGATAGACAGGTAGAGAAATAGAGGAAGAGACAGGGAGAAAGAGAGAGAAAGAGAGAGAAAGAGAGAAGGTAGAATCACGTACTTTTGCAATGATTACGCGTTATCGCTGGCATATGCAATCGCACTCGAGTGCACGAATAACGGTATCAGAATGTATCTGCATATATCGAATCTCTCGTGAGGTAATTACGAGCCTGTTGTGAAAATACAATTTTAACGTTAATTATTACTGATTCTTCAATTAACGTGGGAGTGTTTTTGTTGAAAAAACTTTTCCGAGTGAAATCAATTTTCGTTCCGATTATTTAATGCATTTAAACATCAGTTTAGTTATGAGACGTAAAATTATATGCCAGTATATATAAATATATTTTGTAATATTTAATATTAAAAATTTTTAAAAACTTTTATTACTAAAAATAAAATAAAATGTAATTCGAAAGTGTGCGCATCGAGAGTTCTAATAAGAATAGAAGGAAACATTAAACATGTCGTTTGAATATTGGCATAAAATTTTATAGTAAAACTTTTTTATAGTAAAACTAGCTGCCTGTAACGATTGCGTTTTTGCAGTCTTTAATGAATAATAACGATCGATGTGTGACGTTTATACGAATTAATGACAAACTTACGATTTAATTTTTCAGCGAGCATAGATTACATACTTAGAAAGATCGTTTGCACGGAAGGTCCAACGATCTCATAAAGTGGACGGTGTTGTAAAATCGGTCTTTAACCCTTCCTCGGATTCAATATCGTCGCAAAATGATAGTACCGTCGTATTCGCGAATGTGTGTATCACGTTGTCTTTTACGAGGACTATTTTTCCGCGCTCGAGGAAGAATTTCTCTCCGGCTGCACGAGCCATTATGACAAGCTGATATCTTCCTGGTGCTATACATGTAGCGAGATGCTATAGCGAGAGAAGCGCAGCTACGTAGATTCTATCAGTGAAAATTGTATTGGTTGTTCCACCTGTGTACGTCGTAGACACTGTCGCATCTCCCTTTTTTACGACGAACGAAAGCATGGTCGAGTTGCGCGATATAAGCAGGGGTTGGAGGGTAGGAAGAACGTTAAAAACTTTTTCTCCCTCGTCTCCGCGCGCTTTGAAGAAAAGAGAGAGCTCTTTGCCGGTCTCAGTTATGCGCTAATAATGTTTCCTGGATTTAAATCTTCAGTTTAAATGCCGTTTCCGACATTCTTGTCATTGTATAATTACGTCGTAGCTCACGTTTTAGAATTCGCTGAAATTAAGCGTCTCGCTTCTAACATTATTTTTTAATATCACTTATATATCAGATATTTAGAATCATATATAAAAAAGCACTTTAATTTTGATCAATCTATATCTATATAATCGATTGAAATTTAAGAATGAAGAGAGATTTGAAGACAAAGACTTGAACTTTGATAAATGGATAATAAAATCATTTATAATATATCCACAAAATAATTCAATTTCTTCACTATTTGTTAATGAACATAAGTTAGTCAAATGAATCTACGAAAAAGAAAATACAAAATACGGTCGTTAAAGAAGTGCTTGTTCATCGTCACCAGTGCGCGTTAAGGGTTAAAAGATTAAAGTTACGGTTAAATGAGTTCGTACCAGAATTTCGCGACGAATGAAACGAGCTTTCCTTCTCTTCGCGTCTCATTGATCTGATCGAGTCTCTTCTCTGCATCATGTCTATAACCCGCTCTTTCCATTTCTGTGTACGCCACGAAAGATACGGAAACACGGGAGCACGAAAGATTCGTGCCTTGACTTTTCGTCGAGGAGGATCAGCTCCCCTCTTGGATGCGCGACTTGCCACGATTTCGTCAGATCAACAGCAGGCTCGCATTAATTACGTATATACTATATCGTCTTTTTGGGAGTTCCATGCACTCGAATGATAGGGGTAGAGGTCCTTTCACCGGTCGAGTCATTAAATAATCCATCAATGTCCATTAATAAATAATGCCGTTACTGATGTGAATTTCATCCCTTTCTAGCTTATTCCGGGAGAAATCCGCGGGAGACAGCTCGTTATCGTAATAACCGTTCCTTATTTTTGTCACTATCCTGTCAGTCAATTGCATCGACATCATACAACACTCGTCGTTTGTTCTTCTTCCGTCCGTGACCAAGTGTTTTCTATGATAACTTATTTCCCGCGAACAGTTGTTAGGTTCCGTATTGTGCGAATGACGTACGTCAGTATCTTTAAGCATCGCAAAACGTCGCGCGAGATGATGACAGCGACAAATTAATATTATGCTTGAGGCAATTAGAAGATTTAATGCGATATTAATTTTGATTAAGAATTCGCGATATTAATTTAGATATGAATCCTAGATAAGATATCTACAAATGTCATTTTAATACAGAGAGTTTAATACACACTACTGACAGCTAATGAAGAATGAAAATGGGCTAAATTAATTAAACTTTTTTGCTAGCACGACGCTAAAATTAAATTTGACCTTAAAAAAAAATTTCACTAGTTTTTTTTTATACTCTTGCACGCAAATTTGTCCCGCACTTTGTATTAATCTCGCAAATTTCTCTTCCACAATTCAATCCTCGGTATTCTCTTTCTCGTTACGTAACCTCGAGTTGCGCGTCTCCGCCAGATGTGCAACAATGTCGTCGCCGAGGGTCGACGACGTATCACATCGGCGCGTCGCTGACGAATGTCGGTGCACGAGATCAGTTTCTGGATTAGTTCCGCTTCCGGGGTCGCGCTTCGTAAGTTTGACAGTTTTCGCGGACCGCGAAAAGCCTGCCGGCCGTTTAGAGTCACCGGGCGAAACTAGTCGGCGCGTAACTACATCACTGCCGTGGTCTTTATCCCTACCGCGAGCTACCTCTTCTTCGTCAGCTTCTTCATCGCGCGTCACGAAATCACCGCCGCGGGTCTCTCTCTTTCTAGCCCTCGTGACTATTTAAATCTTTTGTAGTCCCTCGTGGTCCCGCAACGCCAGGACCGTGTTATCGCGCCGGGACAACGATGCCAAATTAATGCATTTCTTCGCCATTTCCCCCAAAAGAAAGAAATTCCTAATTGAAAATCGAATGATATATGTAAAAGTAATGTACTGAAATTATTTTTAAATGATACGTACAATTTTTGATGACATTTTTGAAATTAAACTAATATATCATTAAACGTCAGAAAATTTCCTTGTTATTTTCACGTCACGTGTTTTGTTGAAATATATAAAAAATTGAAATATATTAAGATTTTGCCTGATAAACAATACAAATTATTTATAAAGAAAAGAGATAAATAAATTCTCTTATAAATTTTGTTTTAATTTGATTTTAATGTGAAGATATCTTTGTAGAAAGTATATAAAAATATTTCACATTGAATTTCTCGTTAAGTCTCTTTTCATGCATCTGATATTACTAGATAACACCAGGATGCTCCGGTACTGATCAACGTCATTGTGTCTTTTGATGTTATTTTAGAAACGTCGCTGGAGGCGTTCTTATAAATTTCGTCATTTTATACGCGCCTTGACCGCGATATTACGCAAAAGCTCGAATGACAAAAATCTCCTTTTCCCCGGCAAACTTATATATCATTTAATTTTATGTACGATTGAATTTTTTTAGCGTGACGCGATTACGTTTCAAACACATTTTACACTTTCTATCTTCTGTTCCTTTTAGCAATTTAATATTGTTTTGTCGTGACGAGTATCGTTGTCGCTTCTTATGTCTAAAATCATCAATTTTGAAGTCTGATGGCGCGATATTTTTGATATTGAAGAAATTTGGTGTCGGTGCAACCCGGGGCGATGATAAATTGTTCATTAGACCGGCGCCGTTTCTTCACGCGATGTAATCTATCAAGAGGTTGAAAAAGGACTCAAAATAATCTCCGAGCTTGACGTAGGTGGCGTCTGGTTTTCTCATCGAGCATGAGACAGGAACGGAAAAAGAGCAGAACCGATAGATTGATCCAACAACTCACTTTGGATCCTCGCCGCGCGCTATCAGTTTTTCTAGCCGTGGAGGATTTTCTTCGCACGTTACTTGAATGCACTACGATAATCCGGCTGCATAATGTGCCGGAAGAGATAAAAAAGCTCAGACGCTATCTTGATTTGATGAGAGTGTCAGGCACCATTTTTTGTTTGACATATATTAAGTGGCCTTAAGTCGTTTCTAATTAATCATTTCGTAACTATTAATAATTGTAACACTATTAATAATTATATATGGTTATAATTATTTATGGTTACGAAGTGATTAAAATTTGTACTTAAATTATCTTACCGCACTAGTTTTTTTATAAATAATAATAAAATTTAAAAAATATATTTAAAATGTTTCTATATATACATATATATATGCTGATTGTTGTGTGTGATTCGCAATATTTATTTAATTTTATTGTCATTTTAATTAAAAAATTCTATTTAATAGATAATATAATTATTTAATTAAATTTTATTATTGCTTATATCGTGACTTAAACTTATTAATAGAAATAATTTGAAATTTTCAAGTTTTATTGATTTATTAATGATAAAAATTGAAATTGAAATTAATTAATTTGACGTTTGAACAGTATCACATATACGATAGTAAGTTAGCATTAGGTTTTAGAATCTGTACAGCGTCGACATCTGGACCTCGAGTTTCGAGAGAACAAACGCTGCCCCAAAATATTTGCCAAAACAAAGCTTTTCTTGGCTCCTCCGGTAAATAAATCTCGAGAAAATCACGTATACGCGATTCATATATTATATCGTCATTCAAACTTTTTGCTTTACGTCACACATTCACACGTCAGTATATCCATTCAAACTCACTCCTTATTTATAATTATAATTATAATTAATGAGAAATATCTTTATCAAAAATTATACATGCCACGTATACCTGCACTGAAAAAAAATTTTGTTGAATATTGCCAAAAAAGTATTCTGTTGTAGTAAAATAACTATACATTGTTGTACTGAACTCTCTGTTTTGATGATTTGAATAAACTTTTTTTACATCAACAAATTATTTCGGAATATTTTAGTTATATTTATTTGAACGTATCGGACAATATATTTAGTTGGGCAAAATAAATTTTGCCTTTTTCAACCAAGTTTTTCTTTCAGTGTACATTATTAATTGATCTTCAAAAAAATGTGTTTCGATCGAACACTCGATTTCAGCTGATAGTCTCTTATATGTTATTTTCCGTATTTAAAAATCCTTGGTAAATCGATTAATTTTACTTCTAGATAATTAACTTCTTTCTGAATTTCAATTCGTATAATTTAAGTTTTGTAAATTCATTAATTAAAAAATTAATCACCTGTGTTTATCGCGTTCACTTTTAATTAAAAGCCACTTGCAATTTTTTTCTCTTTTGCTTAATTTGTTAAGACACTGTTTTTCTCGTCAGGATAAAGTTACTATGTAATGAAAAAAAAAACTTTTTTTTTGTTCAGAGTAGGAAATGCAGATGCTTTGTGTCTTCTCGAACACATTTAACTAAGTCAAGTCTGCCGGATCTAGTTCGCCGAAGTAGAAACTGTGCTATTCGCTTATCCACTGGACAAATTCAGCGTATGCAGACCGGGTTTCGAAAATAGTTCATAGTAAGCTCGTACGATATGCGGCGATTTCGATATTTCATATGCATGCGCGTATCTATTTGTAGGCGATTCCGGCGCGATGCAATTTACGAGATTTAGCCATAACCGTATAATGAAATTCTCTATGACGTCATAAAGTATATTTTACTGCTTATTTGCGGTATCATCCATAATGGCGAATTCACAATTAATAATAGCCACTGAGATTTGCGAGACTAGCGCGATCCATTTGAAACATCGTTTAATTTCAGCGAGTAAAATTGCGTGGAATAAATTTATTAAAACCTATCTCAAAAGTCCTCAATTAATTTTACGATGTATTTAAAAAGGATAAGAAGGAAGAAGAAAAAAGAGCAGCATTTTCTATAGAAGGATAATCCACTTTGTAAAACTTTAACGACATATTCTTTAATGAGTTCAAGATTGACTTGTTCTTTTTTCGAAAATGTAATGAGATACTTTATGTATCTTCAAGATGTCAGCGTCACTTTTTATCACAAGATATTTGCTAACTTTAATAGAATAATAAAAGCATAAAATTGCTCTTTTCCATGATGTATCAAAAATTCCTTTAACACGGTAGTTAAATTAATCCTTGATTGCTCTGGCGCAGTCATACTCCAGAGGATCAAATATTTAACATTATTAGTTGGTCTGGCCTGCCACTAACGCATAATGGAAGTCCCGGTGAAATTAATTTGGCCCCCGAGTGTGAATCGTCTATAACGACAAATTAATAATTCAAACAATGGCATTCGGAGCAATTGCGCTAGTAAAATTCACGTAAATATTCTCCGGACATTTTATACGGAAAGAGAAATATATACATTATACATATGAAATTTAGTAAACAATAAATAAACTGCGTATAAATAATAATACATAAAAAAGAAATTAATTGTAATACATTAATTTTATTTTTTATAGCGAAATATCTAATTGTTAAATTCAATGTACATATTTCTTTGTCGAAAGAGATAAAGAGAAACTTGGAGGAATGATTTTCCTGTCTCTCTTCGTACATCGAAAGTCGTTCTAATTGATTTACTCATTGCGAGTCCTCATTCAATTTCGAGTCGAACAAGAAGATGAATAATAATCGCTTTTATAATATTTCTTTATAACAACATATTCATTGCCCCCCTTTCCCCTAATCCATCGATAGATTTGCGCGCGAGCTACCGCACGTTCGTATTCTCCCTCGTATTAACCTCCTTCTTTACCTTGTTCCACCTCCGCATTGATGTGAATGGTCCTCAGTCTGAGTTCCTCGTTCTCGTAAATCATCCCCCTTGAGGACTTCCGGTCGAGTTTTCTATTTGGCTTGACGCTGACGTCCCTCCGCCTGGTTCTCAGCATCCCGGCACCGCCGACACCGCCCACCCCCGCCCCCGCCATCATCCTTTCCCTGTGTCACTGGTCTCTTACTTTCTCCGGTATGTGATGTATTACAAAGAGCGTATCACGATGAGCAGTCGATTGTCTGCGACGATCGGCCTCTTGAAAGGATCAGCACGCGATTCTCGTCTCTTATTCTCTCCTTCTTCGCCAGAAACTTTCGCGAGATAGACACAAACACACACACACACACCCGCGCGCGCGCGTCCTCGTGACTATTTGATCCTTTGTTTGATCTTTACTCGAAGAAAGTTTCGAGCACGAGGATTCCACCCGAGTTTTGCGACTATGACTTGGCCACTTGACGTTCTTTCTATCGTGTAGGCAAATCCGAGGGTCCGTTTCGAAAAGTTTGCCTTAATCCTTGATACACGATGATACGCCTCACTTCGAAACACTTTACCCACACTTTCTTTAGATCGCTTCTCCCATAGCGGATTTTGAGATCAAAACCTTGTCACTGAACACAATCACTTTTTATTATCTAACTTGACGAACTGTTTGTATTAATATTCGTGTAATGATACGAAAGAAATTGTTTAAATAATTGGAAAATTATTTTTTTATTAATATTATAAAAACGCAGAACTCAGAACCCGCCCTTTTATACTTATTAGACTTTATCATTGGGAAATTATTTAATATTTACTAATTCTAGCCAGCATCTCCTAGCAAGTATCTTTCGATCAGTTTACATTAATTCGATCGATAATGAAAAATTAATTTCGATGTTCTTATACTTATTATATTATAATACCTCAGCAATTTATGGAAAGGGTTAAAGATATGCGCTATATAATAGGCTATAAGATGATATTGATGCGCTGAGATGTGCCTGATCTCAGCAAAGTCGCTTCCCTCCAGTTAAAGTGGAACTATTCGTTTCTCGAATAATCGCACAGTCACTCTACCGGCAAAGAGTCTGCATCAATCCCGGGGAACAAACCCGGGAAGCGAGATGTAATTGATGCCGCAGAAACTCCGGGAAGACCGACAGGCGCCTACGGACTCGCCGAGTCACTTTCTATTGTCAAGACTATACACATTAGTTTGTAGCACCGCGAAGTTTGTACACGTCGGCTCGTAATATCATGAATACTATACAGAGACATAATATCGCGTCGCGAGATCAGGGTTAAGAGCTGTTGACGTTGGAGAATAATCTGCGTCTAAAATTTCGTATACGTTAGTTTGCGAAGACCATTTGCGTCAGTATCTCGCAGATTGCTTGGTTCATATGGAAGATCGTGTTGAGAGTTATCGATGCTGTAACATAACGTAATCTTCATGTATAATTTTCAGTGCTGATACTCGTCGTTGTATCAATTTAATGGAATTTCTCTAGGCGGTTTAATTGACGAGTTCTTCAGGAATCATACATCTCTCGACGAATCGTCACGGATACGAGACACTGTCAGCTTCGTGGATCCGTTCGTGGTCGCGTTTAGGTGGAATTACAGCTTCCGGTAGTACCGGTCGTCGGCGTCGCCCTCGCGGCCGGAAGAATTTGCATCGGGCACTCATTTCTCACGCGGTATTCCTCGTACGCAATTTGCGTCCCCATTACTCAGCGTTTATCAGCGTGCTCGGACGACCACCTCCCGTAGTTTCCGTTCTTGCGCCTTTTTTTATTTATTTTTTCCTCCTCTTTCCCTCCTCTCTCTTTTCCACTCTCTCTATTTTGTTTTGTCTTTCTCCTCTAATTTGTTTTGCACGTCCGCGCGGCACACGCGAGGGAATTTATCTCGTCGCTCGGGTGGATTTTCAATCTTTTGGCCGGCTGCGCCGGTCATCAGTTCGCTATCTACGGCCCGTTATGTATGTCGAGACTTTCGTCCCTAGACCGGTGATTATTCATAAGGGACTTAAAGTTGCGAGCCTGAAGTTTCAGCTTCTGGTATTTAGTTTCTTCTCTATTCGCTGGGGACGTCGCTCGTGCGTTCGCGCAAAAATTGCCCTCGCGAGGACGATAAGTGGTTGCGACGTGCAGTGCACTGCAGCTGTTGCGAAACGATTATCCGCGATGCGTGTACCGTGATGCGACTCGTCACTCGAAGGCTTGTTGGTGTTTGAAATATGAATTAATGTCAAGTCGAAGTAATTGCCGATGTCAAATTGGAGTAAATGACGTGGTAATTATTAGATGACTTCAGGAACGTTGATGTTTTTGTGAATTTTATCTCCACTCTTGCCATTCAATAAAGAACTAATTGCTCCCGTTGTTAGAGATCTGAAAAAAAAATTTAGTGTTAAAAATTATATAATAATCATATAATTATTTTATTGTGATATCATGTGTCGAATATTTTGCATTAAATTATTTATCATATAGCATTAGATATATTATATAGTATCGAATATTTCTTTTAAATAAAAATATAGAATATTTGCCAATATTTCATTCCTTTTAAATAGATCAAATTGTTGCATTTATCAAATATCGAGTTTTATCAAATATCGAGTCGTTGTAAAAATAGAATATTTGCCTGTAAGTAGAATTGCTAAACGTCACAATAAAAACTTGTTTCGTCCAACAAAAGTGTCAATATTGTTGTAAAAACTCTCGTGAATGAAGGTTTTATTTGCCCGCGAAACTTCTCGAGAGAAGTCAAGAAGGATACAGAGGAACTGATTTAAAACCTTGCAGACAACTTCACTTGTAGAGAATTGCTTCGCGTATCGTAGAATGCGAAGTATCGACACGCGTATTCGAGTAAATGCGTGAAAAGGCGAAACATTTCGTTCTTGCGCAAAGGAAGAAGCGAGTATCCGCTTTGAAAGGCGCTTTTTTCGCGATGTTGCTCCCTCAGCGTTTTTTCTCTTTCTCTTGCCTGCTCTTCTTGTGACACTCAAAGTCCAGGGAATGACATCAAAGAGGATCATACAGCAAAGCAGGTGCATATCCTCGATCGCTTGTTGTTACCCTGTTCTGAAAGCAGACGCAAAGAACGACAAGAAGGCAAGAAAAAGGGGAAAGAGAGAGAGAGAGAGAGAGAGAGAAATATACATATACAAAGAGAAAAATATTTCAGGAAAAATTATACCTTGAAAGGATATATATAAGAAATTTTATTTACTAAAATTAAGCTGTTTATAAAATATAATTAATTGAATTTACATTAGCGGATTATCAAGTTTTCACAAAAAAATTTTCTTCACAAAGTTTACATATTTACAGATATGTATAATAGAATATGCACTTAAAATTTCAATAATCCCTTGTAAAAAAATCTTTAATCTTATGTAAAAAAAATCTTTAATCTTATGTAAAAAAGTAAAAAAATTTGATGAATGAGCTTAATCGCTGTATAAATAATGATCTTTTTAAGTTTACATTAGAAACTTGCAATTATCTTTGGACTATTTAACACGATAATTAGAAGAAAAGTGAAAACGTTTTTACGCTTCGTCATGCGTATGTCTGTTGACTTTCTTGATGAAGCTAATGTTCTGCAATTAACATCCCGACAGAGATTGATAAAAAAATAAATGGCAAAAGTAAAAGAGTCCTTTTCTCGCTAAGATATTTTTTTGGATGCGAAGAGATGTAATTTGCGCGAGCACATAAATACACGAAGATGTTGTGAAATGAAGTTAAAATCGTAAAGTTTAAGTATTTTATGGCGAAGCGACAAGACTATGTCGATGCATGTGCTTAGAGCAGATATTCAATTTGAACGCATTCCAAGTGATGAGTCATGATTTGCGACTCGTGTCTAGTACGAACTTAACGTTGCATTCGATGAAAGCTATTTGCGAATAATATCGCGAGCAATTTATAAGAGATAAAAGTTTATTTTTTTATTTTTTTTTCATCTCCTTATTATTGCAATGGACGAAATAGCTCTCTTTCTCTCTCTCTCTCTCTCTCTCTCTCTCTCTCTCTCTCTCTCTCTCTAATTGGATTTTCATCATATATATATTTTTAGATAGTTTTACTTAAAATACAGACGCACCTCACATCATTATTAATGACATGTCTGTCACATTACCAAATATTTTAATGATATATATTTTGAGCTCTTGAATTTCTGCTGCCATTAATTCTCTAAATTATTATCATTATTTATTTGATAGAAGTTATTATTATTATTATTTATTTGATGGAATTAAATATATAAGATATATAGAGATCCGCGCATCTCAAAACTAATTCACTGTTAATCAATAATGAACTATTTTAGAACTATTTTTCTTGCATTATTTTCTCTACAGCTAAATTAAATTAAATTAAATTAAGTATATTTAATTTATTTAATTCATTTATTTAATTTTTCTCTTGTGTAACGTATAATAGTTAATGAATATCTTAAGAGAGCAGCACCAGATGATACAGCTATTTATAAGCAAACGCGCGTCGCGTGCAAAAGCGCCAGCATAACTCTCGCTTAAAAAAAATAAAATATCCGTGAGAGAACTCTCTCTTTCTCTCTCTGTCGACATAGATGCTCACACGTTCGTAATTTAACGAGGTAGGACGCGAGGTCTTTGATACGGGACGAGATGTAAGAGGCCAGAAGTTACAACGTGCAACAATTACGCTCCTTTAAGCGTGAACGGCGCGACAGAATGGCGGGGGCGATGTATCTCCTTTGTAACGCGAACTTGACAGTACGAAAGTTTTCGCGCTGCCGGGCAAAAACTTAAGGCTCGTTAAGGGGCGCACATTTGCATGACATTTATCACAACTGCGAGGATCTTTAAGATACGTGCCAGCGCGGTCGGATAAAGCCGGAAGGATTAATGAGGACGTCCCTCGCATTTCGCACGGTTGTTAAGACGAAATATATGTATCTATATATATTTGCCCGATTCTTAAATCCTCGGTACTTTGGTGTTATTTATTCGGCTGCGCGCGTTAATGCCATTTTTATAATATACCTTATAATATACCTTCGCGAAAGAATATCCTTGATAATGCGTAATTTCTTTATCGCGTTTTAGCTACTTTTAACATACTTTTAACATTTTTTCTTTAAGAGAAATTAAATATTTTTTTTACTGAGAAAGTTATATTGCACGGCAATATACATTGCAAATATTATTTTTAATAAATATTAATAAATATAGAGAAATATTTTATTAAAAATAATATTTAATAAACATTATTTTTAATAAAATATTTCTAATAACTGTTACAAGAAATATGAAATTTTGATGTAAATATATTTATATATTTTTAATGCGCAAAAGTATTCACATTATCCTTGTGCGAAAAAAATTCTCTGGTTTCTTATTCGTGATTAGAATAGGATTGATTTTATTTGTGAAGTGCTTTTTCCTGCTTATTCTTACGTGCGTGAAATGCAATAATGTGCCTATTGGCCACCTGGTCATGCAATTTTAACGATTTCCGGTCGGATACACGTTTGGCGGCCACGGATTATGCGCGTATCAACAAAGCGATATAATTCTCGACGTAAAACAGACGTGGATCTTGATACGTAGCAACAACGGTACGTTTTCAATATTAAATAATCGGAAAACGTGATTTCCGGTGTGTATTCTAAAATTTTCATTATATGCATGCAATTACTGCATATAATCTAGTTATGCGTTTAATCTATACAAGTATAATCGGTTGCATAATATACGAATATTAATGTGATACTATTAATATTAATTTGTGGTATTTTATGCATCCGCATTATTATAATAATTATTATAATAATCACAATTTATAAAATATATATGAAATATTGAAGAATTGTAATTCCGAGAGAGAATTATAACTCACACATATCTTATATTTCATAATTTTACACATGTCAAGTTTCAAAGAGAGATATTCTTTTAATGTGAAATAAAGAGAAGACATATTTAATAAATATTTATATAATATTATACCCTAATATAATATTTTATAAATATTTATATTTATTATATGATAAAGGCTAAATAGAATAGTTAGAATATTATTTCTAAAACGAGAAAATTAATTAAAATAAAAAAACAATTACTTATTCTCTTCTTGATACATTTAGGACATCGAGTTTTCATTCTCATTTCATGCGATAATGATTCTGCGTGAAACAAGTTCGACCTTTTCTTGCTAGCGTATATTTGCATGGCGTGAAACATAAACGATGTAGTGCGATGCAGCGACCATGGTGCCTCGCGCAAAAATCGAATTTGTACCGTGAAGTGCGAGATCGGGGCGTTATCGGCCAGTAGGCGTGTGCACAATTTTAACGATTTCCGGGCCGGTACTTTCGGCGTAACACGTTTTGCACGTCGTCGCCGACGCTCGAAGGTCGACGCAAACCAGACGCCGTGATTTGAAATCTCGATTGGAATGATCGTTCGCGCTGGAATTGGAATCGATGACGGGGCGCGTTATTATTAAGCGAAGCGACGACGGGCTGTCGATCATAAAATGATATTCGTCGTCGACGTCTCCCGCGTTTTTTCATATTAAAGCAAATCTTTTCACTTACGAATATATTGTTGTGCTGTGTGAAACGATATTGAAACTTCCAGTTTGTCCGTCATAATGAGCATGATTGTTTGCGCACTGCTATTTCCTAGAACAAGTAAGAAATACGAATTGAAGAATTATTAATGTATTGAATTATTTTATAAACTTTTTTAACAATTCTTTCATTTTTTAGAAAAGAACTTAGTTCTTATTTAATAGAATTGTGAAGGAGAGATTAAAAAATTAATATAATATTAATAAAAAAACGATATAAAAATTTGTAATCTATTCTGGTTGATTAGAAAAATTTTTATTACTTTCTAAATAATAATTATTTAGCTTAAATTCAGATTTTTAAAAAGTTGCTTATTTTATTTATTTCATTATATAACAACATTTTATTTTTATCGAAATAAGAGATTAATTGTGAAAATTTCACAATAAAAATATTATAACATTAAAGATATATTAAAAACACAATTATGTATTCTTATAATTAAATTATTATTTATTTTAATATTAAGATTTCCTTTTGTAAGAAGGAAAGATCCTCATTTTTAATTTATTAGAGAGTCAGAGAAATAGCGATTAACACCCGAAACATTCTGTACAACATGTCGATGGCGGTGCATTCGTGACATACAGTCGCTGCAATGACGGGACCATGGATTACACAGCCAACACGTGTCGCCGACACGTTTACCGGCATGACGTTAACACACGTGCGTCGTCGCGGCTTTGCCGCGTTGCGGTGCGTCTCTCTTAGCGCGTAAGTGCTGCGCGGAAATGCGTGTACACGTGGTTTGCAAATGATTTACACGCGGTCGTGCGTAGCATGCACCGGCTGCGATTTGTTCGCGCAGATGCAGCACGAAGATTTAATTTCGAGTGCGATTGTTAACCGGATGATCGTTAACAGTGTCCGATTCGTCGGTTTTAATTATCGCTCGTCAAGTTTCGGCGCGCTTGTTTTTTTTTTTTCCTCGCGAAATTCTGCTTGAGGGCGAACATCCGTCATCGATGGAAACATGTCGAAAGTAACGAAGAGGAATCGCTATTCTCAGGCTTTTCATTCAGAACGAGTCGTGTCCAATTAAACGAGGTATCCTTCGCGTGCTTCTCCTATTCATAACGTGACATGTTTCTTTTCGATATTTTGCCCTTGGCTAAAAGTGAAAGCCAAGCTTTGAATGAAAATCCGTATTTGTTTGATAACATATTGATTTTAAATTTAGCAAAATTAATGATTCTAATATCTTGAAATTATAATGAAAGACTGAAATTAAAAATTAAATACTGCTGGAAGCTCAACGTTCTGAAAAAAGGAAAATTAGAGATTTCATTACAAGATAAGTTATATTTTGTGTGTATACAAAATTATGAAAATATCTCTTGCTTCTCATCGCAAGATGAGAACTTCGTCATTAAGCGAATAGGCAAAATGAGCGCAATAAAAGAATACACGCGGGACCTGGCTCGGTCAGCCTCGTTAGACAAGAATGTCTAATAATAGTAATAAAATGAAACGGTGATGTACTTAGAGGTACTGCCTCTCGAGGAATGCTAACGAGACGACGTCCCCTCTCCATTTGCAATTCCGGTATTTGAGAGAAACGTAATACGGGAATACAATACAAGAGCCAAGTTTCACCGCGTTCGCAGAAGTCACTTCGCCGAGGCAATCCGGATTCGCGACGAGGCCACGGACGCAGCTAATTGAATTCGATCGAAAATGCTTGCCTAATTGCAGCGTCAAGTTCTCGTAAGCCTCATCTTTGGAAGTTGGCTGTTCTTCTCTCTCTCCAGAGCCTACCTCCTCTGCTCCCGCACCCTCGGCCTCTCTCGATTCGCCTTCCATCTTGAAAGTGGGACTGAACTTTCGAGTTTATAGAACTGAATCTTAAGCGGCCAACCCTCCAATTTAAACTTGGGCCGCGATGTTATCGTTCTGCCCTTGAAAGCGGGTTACCTTAGCTAGCGTTGGGACACAGCCGTAGTTCTCCCCCAGTCTTCGCGATGGCTCATGAATCATTTTAATGTGGCGACTGCGATGTGCTTTTCTTGCTTCAAATATATACTGGTCTTTTTACATACTCGTAATGTCAGGGACTTGGCATTATTTGAACTTATTGCAAAATATTGTAGAAAGAGAATTTTGCCTTTGATGAATTTAAAATTGAAATTTCTTTAGGAGACGTGAAAATAATTATTTGGCACAATTTCATGATTCATTCATAAGATTTTTTTAAATACATCTGCATAAAATATTTTTGCGACACTTTTGTAAAAATATTCGTGAAAATATTTGACGTTCGTGAAGTTTAAATTATTTATCGTGATTACAATGAGAATATTTATCAATAATAAATTGCACAGCGCAATATTGATTCTCTTCGGAACAAAATCACAATTAATTCTTCTATTTTTCTTTCATTAGAAAATTATTTACAATCCTCGAATGATTTTATCATGATTTCTAATCTCTTTTCGCGGTCGCGATATAGACGGCGCGCAAGAATAAACTGCTCGAAACGGACAGCGGCAGATATCTCAGCTGCTCTGTGCGACCTGTCTCGGCTGATTTTTCGAGTATACGTCTGAACTGTCAACGGTCTGACTGAGCGGGGAAAGACTCCAAGAAAAACGAACGACCGCCGAGCTAGAAATGAATCATCGACCGGCTCATGGCACTACCGTCGACGATTAATTCATCGTCGACCAATCGTTATTACGGTCGACGGCCGACAGATTGGTTGGCGTGGAGGAAAAAAGCTTTTACGCGGCATTTTTGTGTTCAGGACGAACGATCGCACGGAGCCGGCGTCGTGAACGATCGTGACGATGAGAGCTTAATCGCTGAAAAGAGGAAGCGAGAAAGAGAGAAACGCAAAAGAAGCTGGGGTTCCCATATGGTGTACCCCACGATAATTCGGAATTTCATAGCCGCACTACTCTTCGCGGCAGAAATAACTCGGGGCATCATATGAACGCAGTTTGAAAGCGCTAGCATGTAAACACCTCGTAATCGACTAATCGGTCGTGATGCTGGAAGATATTCATACGCCTGAAAGTTCGAGATACATACTTGCTGTAGAAGAACAGAAATAGACTTTTAACCTACAGCATCGAGCACTTTAATTAAATCACAAATTGAGACTCCTAAAGAATAAAGTTTAAATTTTAATATGGAAAACTTTTAATTAAGCTATTTATTCACACACAGAAAAAAAGGACATTCTTGTTTCGAAAATATATTTAGTTTTAACATGGAAAGTTTGAAATGAGATTATATTGCATTAATTAAAGAAAAATATAATTGCTTGAATGACTGCTTACTTGAATGAAGCCATTTTATTTAGTTTAATCAAGAAAAATATATTCTTACGATTTAAGATTTAATTTTCTTGAATGGAAAAGAAACAATGTTAGATAGAAAATAACATTTTTAAATCAAAGATTATAATTTTCTTAAAGTAGAATTAAATAATTATATAGTCTTGAGATGACAATTATAATATTAAAATAAGACTATAATATCGTTAAAATTTAAAATTATTAAATTCTTCTAAGAAGATTGGAAATTGTTGCGTATATATGAAACAATAAACGCGTTAATTTAAGTATACAAGTTTTCATTTGACACTTATTTTTTTCTGTGCACTGATAATTCAAGTATCATATTGTTTTACTTTATTATAGAAAAAGAATTTATTTCAAATTAATTCAGGAATTAATTATGAAAACTATTATGAAGTTCTTGAAATAATTGGTTTTATTATTGTTATTATTATATTGTATTTTTGTTGAATATATACATTGAATACATTGATATTGCAGCAAAGAAGCGATTTTCTTTTCAACGATTTGTGAAATCTTCCGTTACATCATTATAAAATGATTCTATTCGCGATTGTTCGACAAAGTTTTCGAAAAAATTCACCTTTTGCGTCGCACATGTTGCTCTTATGTGTCGTGAAATAAATTTCCATGTCGTATTCCCGCATTTATTGCCGCGTTTACTGTTCGCTGCCGCGGCGTAGCAGCTTCAGAAACGGTTTACGAAGTGCGGATTTACGAATGTCGTGTCTCCGAATCTGCCGCGATGCTCATGCGACGATCATAAGAGGATTTTATCGTTACAACATTATAACATGGAAAGTTGCGCCGCAGCCGTGTCATTTATGTCTGAACAATCTTGAGCGTAACTACTTGAATGTCTACATCGATTGTCTGACTTATAGTAGTAACCCGTTATATATACAAGAAAAACATTTTCCCTTTAAATTTCAAATTACTCGCTCAGAATTTATTAATCTAAATATTACAGGACGATTCTCACATTATTTATTTGGATATTATTTTTAAGATTTTTTCCATTTTATAATATATTACATATTATAATATACTTTTAAATTCAATTTCCTAATTTTGTCATACAAATTTATGATTGCCTTTTTACTATAAAAAACTTGGAACATATTTCTGTAATATACATATTCAATTTTTTATTATATAGGATAAATCGATAAACGATGAACAGAGAATTAACTTGTTGCTTTTTGAAACCGTTTGTATCGAAAAAGAAATATTGGAAATGGGGTATTGTCAGCGCAAAAATTTGCTGATATTGTGCTTCAGAATAATATTCAGGTTTTTCTCATCGAGATGCGAGCTTTCGGCTTCGCAATCAAAGATCGTTGGGAAGAAAAATGAAAGGATTAAGTGAAGCACGAAACGAACGTCCAGCCACATTATGGCGAAACTCGATTTCGCGACGAGGGAAAAAAACGAGAAAAAGAGAGAGAAAGAGATTCTAATTGTACTCAACGCAGCCGATGCGGCGTGTAGTGCGGTAAAAGGGTCGACAATAAAAGGCAGCGAGGCGGCTAACGGACTAGAGATATTTTTGCGAGAGACGCTGTTATTGTCCGGGCCCTCGTGAGCGAATGTCTCAATGTCCACCTTCGTAGGACAGTTGATAAATGCACGCGCAATTTGACGCGGTCGATTCGAGTTCTCCCCCTCGCGATACTTTTATCTCCGCGTTTCGTGTCTTTACACGTACTCTCACTTGTTTTTCGCATATGTAGGTTTTATAATATATCTCATTTTTCTTTGGCATCGAGGAAATGTGTGAAGACGGATGTGTTTAAGCTGTGCGATTTTTCTAAAGAAAATTTTATTCTCTATAATAATCGATTTTGATGGATTAAAAATGTAAATTTGAGAGATATTATGTATATAATGTTTCTTTATTGGTTTTTCATGGATTATTTTCTTATATTTCGGAAGGAATTACTGTGGGAAAGAAATTACCGATGGCAAATTTTCGAATCAAACACTTTCGCATGAGATAAGCAGACAGTAATCCGAACGAATGGAACAAAAGGAAAGCCGCGTTCACATTCTCAAAGCCTCCATCGACGGCAATGTAAACATCTGGATATATATAGCGGTGAGAGAAAACGGCGAAAAGTTTTAGCGAGTACCTCTGACAATCCTCAGACGGCTGACAGGGTGTATATATGTCAGAAATAGTCGTTCTCTAAAAAAGAAAACTTTACTAAACATCGAACGATTAAGTAGTCAATCAAGAATGGAGCTTCACCGCAATTTGAATTTTTAAGCTCGCGAATCGAAACACGTGTGTGATATTTCAATAATTTTGTATTTTCAGCTTGATGTTTCTTTCTTGTACTTTAAAAACACTTAGGCACTGTTTTAGATTTCTTCAAGATCGATGGATCGATTTTTGGAAGCTCTAGTGACATCTTCAAGTCAAAAATGACATTTATCAGCAGTTGCAACTCGCTTCTTACCATCTAAACTGTAATAATGTTAACAACAATGTCCATTCGTCTTTCAAACGCCATATAAACCAGCGCAGACGTTTCCAATTTTTCAGAACCAGTCTGTAACGTGATTTCATTTCTTTTATCGGTTCTTTCTTTTTCGCGTATTTCTGCTACAGAAATTCTTTACATCCGCTGGTATCTTCGGGCACGTTTCCGGATTCGAAGGAGAAGATCGGGAAGATCGGTTATTTTTCTTTCTCTTTACGCCGGGATAACCTCGAGTTTCCTCGATTCTGTTCACTTTATTGCCTCGCCTCGCTCTTCTTCTTGCGCCGTAACAGCGCGGATGAGTAGAATGCACCCTTCGATTCTAATAGAACATCGTAAAACCACGACGACGTCGTGAAAACCGCAGAAGACGATATAGCATTGGGAAACACTGTCCAAGACGCGCATATATCCGTCTCGGTCTCGCGTATGTATCCGTCGTTTTTCCAATTTTCTTCGAACTTCACATTTCTCGACTTCTACACTTTCTCTTTATTGATCTTTCGCGAAAAACATGTCGGTCTAACCAGCTACACGTGACAAATATCCACGAGGAAAAATAGATGAATGGACACTGTTGCCGCGAATACGCATTTTCTCTCTCTCTGAATTTTTATTTAAAAATGTTTATAAAAACATCACTCCATAATTCGGGCACTTTTACTAATAATCATTTTTTTTTTATATTTTTTTATATTTGTCCTTTTATAATATTAAAAAGATAAGAGACACTCAATAGTTTTCGATTATTCAAATCGGATTAAATTTAGTTTTAGTCTAATTGATTTAGTCTAATTGAATTTTTTATCACTTTTTATTTTTTTAATTTTAGAAAAAGATTTCTGGAAATTATTATGCTAAGAATAAAGTTGAACGATATTGATGAGATTAGCTATTAATAATTTAATATCACTACATTTATTAAATTAAATAATGATTAAGAAGATGTATTAATGACCGTAGCATTACTTTCTCACTAACTATTAGACATTAAAACACATTTGGACGCCTTTTCAATCAGAAGATCACAGCACAGACCATCTATCATTATTCTTGCTTCTTCCCCTTCCTCTCTTTTTACGCGAAGAAGCTTCTCTCTTTCTTCGTCCTACGCGTTCCACCCTTTTTCCCTCGAACTTACGCCACGTCACACTACCTTTGACCCCCGTTTTCCTTTACACGCGGACAGGAAGACAGGAAGTTTCTTTGGCACGTACCTTTTTCTTCTTCTTTCTCTTCCACTTCCACGATTTCTTTTTATTCGCGTTCCCCGTCGTCGTCGTCGTTGTCGTTGTCGTCGTTGTCGTTGTTGCCGTCGTCTTCGTTGTCCTTTCCTCCTCTACCACCCTCTTCGTCCTTCTCCTCCTTTTCCTCCTGTTCCTCTCGCTTCTTCCCGCGGCCACGGCCGTGCGGAATTCGAACCGGGGTTCGATTTGGCGGCACCCGGTTGGAGCTGGTCGGCATTACTGTGTTCGAGTAGACCGCTCGCATCCAAAGTCGACCTCCCTCTCTATCGTTCTCTCTTTCTCTTTCTCTTTCTCTCTCGCCTTCTCTCTCTCTCTCTCTCTCTCTCTCTCTCACTCCGTTTTGTCCGCAGTTTCCTCCTGGCGCACTCCCTCTTTTGCCCTCTTTCTCGCACCTTCCGTGTTTTTCCCTTCCCCTTTCTGCTTCTCGTTTCCGCTTTCGTAAACACCCTGTCCCAACTCGCTCTTTCTCTCTCTCTTTTATCCACGTTTTCCGGCGATGCTTTCCCACCTTCGCGAGATTCTCTCTCTCTCTCTCTCTCCCGTTCTCGTTTCATCCTTCTTCTTCACACTAGTCATCTCTTTTCCTCGCACGAACCACAGGCGCTATCTTACCAATCTAAAATTACCTCTGAAACGATGAACGCCGGTTTCCCTCTCTCTCTCTTTTTCTCTCTCCCTCCGAGTCTTCTCCTACCGCTTTTCCATCTCTCCTGCGGTTTTCAACGCACACTTCGTCTTTCGCCATGCGCGTGTAGCTTGCACGCGGGGTGAGCGACTCATCTCTGGGTGAGATCGGTCGCATAGATTTATAGTTTAGTATTTAGACATTTAGATATCACCAAAGTGTAGTCGTTGATCAATCCGGCGACAGACAACGAGTCGAACGGTAATTGGAGAATGATTTACAGAAGCGAGGAACGAGGAAGATGATTTCTCGAAAACAAAGCGAGGCCGAGAAAATAACTCGTTTTCACTGTTTATTTTTAAAGTTTATTTGCATTCGTGGAATACATGCAATGAAATAAAGAGGAAAAGAATGAAAAAAATATAGAAATTGAAACGAATTACAATATTTTTTTTAGGTACTAAGTGATGTTGCAGTTTTTTTAGGAGCAAAATTATATTTTTGATTGTAAAATTCAAAATTTTCTATCTTATTATACCATCAAAATTTTATGAAGAAATAATTAACTCCAAAATCTTTAAAATACCAATGAAAATCAAGGCTCTTTAATTTCAAATATTTTACACGAAAGATTAAACGATATTTACCGATATATTTTTGGTGTGCGTAAATCGTGATTGTAGTTGCCCTTTTTTTTAATGGCCCTACAATTTTATACGTTTAAGTATCGTAAATGTCCGAACTGACTTATGGCTATAAGGGATGTGAAAAGGCACGCACGCTAAATTGTCGCGGCACGTTTCACGCACCATAAACTCACAAATAGTCAAAGGACAATCGTTCAATTTGCGAACGCTCGCTTTTGGACGTTTGTTAATAACAATCTAGTCAGTTTTATATCATTTCGCACTCGAATAAAAAACGCGAAAATATTGTATATTTTTTAAAGATTATATTGCATTGCAGCTAATCTATAAATTTATTTTCTTCTTACATGCGCTTTTGTAGGGATGCTTTACGTTTGCAATGCTTGCGTAATAACGTTTTATGCATACAGACTGCAAGACGAGAACAACCATGATAAATTATCGTTATTAAAATTCGTGAAGCGCATAAAATTATCTGTTCTCTAAACAACTTCATCGCATTTACAATTGCACGAACTTTATTATAGTGTTTGCTGCAACAATTGTATTCTCTCTCTAGCGAATTTTATGAAAAAATCCAATAAATTCGTGCGTATCCAGAAGATTTTGTTTTATTTATATTTTTAAATATCACGCACTGAATGGCCGCATTTTTGAGCTTCGAACTTCTATATCCGTCTCGACGCTATTCTGCCCAAATAAAATACCGTGAGCTTCCTGCATAAAAAGAGGTTCAAGATCGTCCGACTATTTGGCTAGAGTTCACGCAGGCTTCTCGATTTAGGCGCGTGACATATTTCCGTGCAGCCTCTAGTTATGCGTATCTAAACGCACCTGTCGCACCTCTTTTCTCTTCTTCCTCTTCTTTCTCCTTCTTCGTTCGTCTGGCCTCCCACTATTGAGTGGCATCCAAGTATCGGTCTCCGCGAGAATCAATTTCGACTGCGATTCGCGTGCATCCGTGTGTTACTGCGTGGCCTACATCCGCAACTAAATCCATAGAAACTCCACGAACGAATCATCCACGGATTTCCGAGGCGCGGAAATTAACGATCCACTCCGTTTCGTTGCGACTTGTTTCACAACAGTGGTAAAATTTAAATTTATAGAAAAGATGAATGCGTCGCCAGAAAATGCAGTTGTTATTATTTTGAAAAATAAAATATGCGTTCTAAAAATATTATACAGTACATAAAATAATAGGCATAATAAATACACGGATTATAGATTGCATTTTTTTCCAAGGTTTTGAGACGAATGGATAAAATGCAGTTTGCCTTTGTTTAAATAAAGATATATATTTTTCTATGATTAATCATTTCTTGCATCATATCAGAATTTTTTTTTCTTAGAAAATTAACATGACTGATGTAATAAATATTTTAGAAAATATCATTTATCGCATACTAAGATTGCACAAATAATAAATCGTATATATGATTAGCAGACTGTTTAACTATGAAAACTTAGGAAAGGAGAGGAGAGAAATTAAAAAAATAACGCATGTACATAAAATAAAAAATACATGTACAAGTTATATTTGTTCGCATGACTATTCAAAGCACTTTTTCAAGAGATAAACATCTTATTTTCGTCTTACTTTCAAGCGCATTGATCTTCCTGCGATTTGAGTGTTCGCCAAATGGAATGACTCGCGGCAAAAATTCCAGGCGGGATTCGCAAAGATTTTCGCGGTGAAAAAAATCGCCGCGAGATTGCGGCTTTCATCGTGACGTGCAACAAAGTTGCGCGAAGTTTGATCGAGCGCGCCGATCTTCCGCGGCGCGGTTGCAGTTGAAATTTCCATTGTTACATGTTCAAGTAACCGCCAACGATGTACACGGTCGCGATAAGCACGGGCGGATGATAATTAGTTCACAAGCAGAGAAATCAGAGAAGTTTGCTCCAGCCGGGCACGGAATTGCGCCGATGTTACCACCGTCGGGCGTGCTCGTAAGAGAGCTGCGCAACTTATGCATGTTTCCATAGGATCGCGAATTTCGCACCCCAAGGTTCCATTGATCTCGCCTAGAATCAAGAAAGTAACCTTTGCGCGATTTGATCAACTCGCATACGTCGCTTTAATCTTATGTAATTCCGCTTAAAATTAATGCAATAATAAGTTTACATATGATGGAAATAGAACACTTTGGCACATATATATTTTAGTACTAAAATAATTTAGTATTAAAATAATATATATTTTAGTACTAAAATAATTTTCTTTAATTTTTTATGCTACTATTTAAATTAGAAGAATTTGTGTTTTTTTTAATATTCCGGATTAATCAATAATTCATTAATCATGTTTCTATAATGTTTACGAAGTTTTAGATGTAAATATAATTGCTTATAGAAAAAATATTAATAAAATTAAGATAAAAATATCTAACATCAAATACTTAATTTTGACACATTTCTTAAAATTGTTGCAAATCATTAGTGCCATACTATTAGTCTCGTTATTCCTTTTATTTTATGAAATTTATTTCATTCCAAGTTTTTAATAACAAGATCATTTGAAAAATTCAGATTTTTAAAAAATTTATTTATCTTATAATTATGTTATCTTAATATCTTACGCTCCTAAATCTAGCTGGCAATTCTAATTGAGATTATCAAGCAGACAAGAGTCAAAGATCCCGTTATTCATCCCACACGATCTCGAAACACGTTTGTACTTTATTATAGGGACTTAATTTCGTTGCGCGTCGAGATACGATTTTGATGGACCCTTTCGACCGCATTTAATTTCCTCGTGACTCTGACCGAATAGGGAAACGCTACTTTTACGAGCCAAAGATTTATCACGTGTGTGTATGAGACGACATATGAAAGTCTACCGGTGTTCTAGTTAAAGGAAAGGAAGAGCCGGTTCACATAGCCGGTTATATTCGTTGGATGTTGAACGTCGTTAAAGTTGGCATCAAAATGGCTTCCCCGTAAAAACGGCTTTTTCTATTCGCGTTTACGACCATCGCCTCGATCACTTGCGCGACTATGAGCGAACAAATTGGTTATACGAGGCGACGAATTATTTTCGCAATTTTCGCGAGACTCGCGTTTAACTTTATTTTCGCAAACCTTCGTTATTTAAGAGCGTATTATATAATGTTGTGGCAAGTAAAACGGTCGCATTTATCATTTGGAGGCCGCAAAGAACATTATTTTTCATTAATTCTAAATTAGATATATATTATTTTATAATATCTTTTATATTATTTTATATTACACAGAGTATTTAGATACTATAAGTATTGTATTTATAAGATAAAGTCGCATAATTTTTGCTTTCTTTTTATCGTGTATATTTACACTCGCTGATTGCATTGTTCTTTATACTATTTATCAAAGTTAATATTTTTCACAAATACATCAATGAAGTTATATTTACGGGCTCATTCTTATCACGTCGTCAATTATAAGTTTTCACACGTGTACGCCCGAAACAAGGGGCCTTCATTGAACGTTCCGTTGACGATTGTTTCTGTTTGCGATCATGAATGTCTGCCAAAAACAAGGCGTAATTTTTGCGGAACGATTAACGCACAGAGGGGGCGACCGGTACGCGAAAAATTTCATATTCGACGCCAGCGTGGAAAATGCATATGCATATATGCACATATGTATATATATATATATATATATATATATATTTCTAGCGTGCCTCGCAGAATATTCGTGCGTGTGGTACGCACGCGCTTAAATAAGAGACCAAACCCGGCTGGCAGGACGGTGGCTGGCTCCTCGTCCTGCCTGTGCATTGTGCTTGCCCTCCATTCTGCGTGTTACTTCTCCCTCGCTACCCGAAGTCAGGCTTTTAATTAACCCGTTTGTTTGTCCGCAGGTTGGTATTCCTGAATCGTGCGGTCCTACGTGCCCCGGAAGTATGCTGGGACACGCACACATACACACCTACATACGTAGCGATGTATATTTTTCGATGTGTAAGTACAAGCTTTTGTGTGTGTCGGTGTTTGGGGCAAAATTGCATTTTCCTTCATCGCACTCGATTCTCCTCTCGCCATTTTGTTAGCCTCACCATCCGCGCGACCCTCAAATTCTTTTATTATTATATAATACTTATGCTATGCGCAAAAATTTTCATTTGCAAGTTATATCAACGAGAAATTTAATCCGTTTTATAAAAGTATTTGCAATATAATTAATACTAGTGAGATTTATTAAACTGCT